TCAGAGATTACAAGGCTAGTTGCCAGGGCCTGAGGTGAGAAAAAATCCAAAGATGCTGTTCAAGGGTACAAACATTAAGTTGTAAGATCAATAAATTTTGTAGACTTGATGTACATCATGGTGTGTATCGCTAATGATAATGTTTTGCATCTTAAAATTTTCTGACTATAGATCTTAAGTATTCTCACTACAAAAAAAAAAGAATAGGTAACAGTGAGATGATATATATTTTCATTAACTTGGTTATGTTAATCATTTCAAAACATATAAATATATCAAACAAATCATTACATTGTACATATAATTGCATAGTTATACTATTTTTATTTGTGGAGAAAATTTATATGACACACACAAACACACACACATACACACACACACACACACATATAAACCTGTGAATGACAGCCCCAGTGAGCTTCATACTAATGAACAGAAAATGATAGAGTTAGTAAAAGTGAAAAGTGGGAATTTCATGCGTGCTCAGCAATGTTCTAAGTGCCCCAAACATACTTAAGAAATGTAGGGAGTAGATACGTTAAACTATATTAAAGTTGAGAAATTTGGGCACATAGAGTTAAATTATTAATCAGAGTTCACAATAAAAACAGAATTTTGAAGTAAAATAACATATTTTCTTATATTTAGGGAGATACTTAGTGTTCTGATAATGAGTATGAATTTCTGTAGAAACACATTTAATCCTTCCACAGGATAACGAATCATAAAGCAGAAAACATATAACATCTGCTTGTGGTGATCCTGGGATTTCTGAACCAAAACCAATTACACACACACTCACACATGTCAGACCTGATGCAATAAATGCAGAGAAATTAAAAAATGGTTTGCAGACAGGTGTGGTGGCTCATGTCTGTAATCCTAGCACTCTGGGAGGCTTTACGGCCCTGTCTGCTGTATGCTTCTTCTTGCTTCTTTCCTCTAATTGCTGCTGGAATCTGTCTTTTCTGCAGAGACACTCTGTCTGGCGGTGTTATTCGTCCGCCATCTTGCTCCACCCCCTGAATCCTACTTGGCCTGTATTTTCTTATCCATTCAGCAGCTATAGTCTCTGTGAGTGGGAGTTTAAGCCATTCACATTTTTGAGAAACTAGATAGGGTAAGTGATTACTGATATTCTGTTGGTTTGGATGTTTGCTATGATTTCTGTCTTGAGCCATTGTAAATCTGGCCTTTAATATCTGGGTTTGGTTGTTTTTATATTCGTGTGTATTATTATGATGTCCGGTGTAACGCTGTTTTAAGTACTTCTTGTAGGCTGGTCTTTGTCTTAGTGAATTCTCTGAGCCTTTGCTTGTCTGCGAATGCTTTTATCTCTCCTTCATATACGAAGCTTAGTTTTGCAGGCAATAATATTCTAGGCTGGGCATTGTCTTGTTTCAAAAGACGTGAGAATGGTGCCCCAGTCTCTCCTTGCTTGTAAAGTCTCATTAGAGAAGTCTGATGTTCATTTGAATTGGCTTTCCCCTTGTATACTTGCTTCTTTGTCTTACAGCCTCTTAGAAGGGCCTCTTTAGTTGATACTTTGGTCAGTCTGATGATTTTCATGTCGTGATGTCTTCCTGTTTGCGTTTGAATCTTCCAGGGCCGTCCTCTGAGCTTCTGAACTTGTATATCCAGATTTTGAGCAAGGCCTGGAAATTTTCCTCTATTATATCTTCAAACAGCTCTGTCCCACCCTTGGAGTGTTGTCTTCTTCCCCTTCTTGTAACCCTATGACCCTCACATTAGTTTCTTCACATTATTCCCACAAGCTCTTGTAGGCTTTGCTCTTTTCTCTTGTTCTCTCTCTATTTCTGTCACTGATTTATTTAATTGGAAGGTGTTATTTTCAAGCTCTGAGATTCTTTCTTCTGGTTGATCTACCCTGTTCTTGAGAATTCCACCTGTATTTTGTAGTTCCTTGATTGATTCTTCATTTCCAGGAGTTCAGTTAACTTTTCTTCATTGCTTCTATTTCTTTTTTCCATATCCTGGAGGCTTTTTTGGGTGGTTTCTTGGTGTTGGTTATTGAGTTGTTGTTGCAGCTGGGTGAGTGTTCTTATGATCCACATACGAAATTCCTCTTCTGTCATATTGGTTGCCTGATTTTGGTCGGCTGCTCCATTTCGTAGGGGGGCTGGTGCTCCTCTTTGGGGTGTGTTTTCCGTGGTTCTGAGTTTGGTTCTGAGTTCTTTCACTGATTTCTTCCATGTCGATCAGTTGTTGTTTCTTTCCTTAAGTTATTGTTTGGTATTCACACACCTGTTTAGGTTTCTGAGGCGCTTAGGTGGTGTCTGTGGGTGAAATGCGACACTCCCAGTATATGAGTCAGGGGGTGCCGTCTGGAAAGGCTGTGCAAGATGCGTCCCTGTCAGTAGGTGGGCGTTTGCTTGGAGGAACAGGCTATGCTGTTGATTTTGTGTTCTGTTATCAGCTCTTGTTCTGGGTGGAGCTGGGGTTGTGTAAGCCTGCCCTCAGGCGTAGCAGGGTCAAAGTTCTGTGCTTGCTTCCAGGGAAAGCTGTCAGGGCAGGCTGAATGCGTCCTGCTCAGCAGAAATTCGCGTCTGCTCCGTGGGGTGGGGCTGGCCTCAGACCCACAGTCTGGAGTGGGTCTCGCTCTTTCCACCTCCTCAACTCTGCAGCTACTCCTGGGCCTCTGCCAGCAGGCCAGACCACAAGCCACCAGGCCTTCCTGGACTGTGATGCTGGTGGGGAGTTTCCCTTCACAGGAATGCCACCGGGGTTGGGTGCACAGCCTCCTCCTGGGAGGAGGGTTGCCCTCTAGGATGTCGATCTTCCCCTGGAGGCACACACACCTCAGTAGCTGTTCACGGTATAACCCTTCTGTGCCCCGGGCAATGCTAGGCCTCGTGTGCAGTGGATCTGGTCTGTAGGTCCGAACTCTGGGTCCCAGAGTTCAAACTGTATCCCCACCAGGGAGAGGATTTCCGGTTCCAATTCACCCACAATGAGCCCAAGCTGGGGCTATGTCTCTCAGCCTCTGAGTCGGCACCGTTCTCCTGGGAACACCGTTCCAGCAGCACCTGGGAGGGTGGGCGGGTAGGGAGCTGACAGTCTGAGTTCCCCTGAGTCAGCTGTAAGGTCCCCAAAGGGAAGGTTCCGTTCCCTGGAGGTGCCGCTGGCTGGTGGCTGTATTGTCTCTCTGGGCAGCCGCGGTGAGGGTCGTGGGAGGAGGGAGGAGGCAATATGGCGCTGCCGTGGCTCAGGTCTGTGCACATGGAGGTCCCCGGAGGAAGTTGGGAACCTGGTGCCACATCTGCTACAGGCTCACCACTGGCTGGTGGCGGCCATCTCTGGGCTGGTGTCCGTAGGTCTCTCCACCTGCTGGGGAGCCCACCAGCAGTTCCAAATGCAGGGGAGGGGAAACAGCAAATCCACCTACCCTTGCTGCTGGTCTCCAGCTGCTCCAGTAGCCTCAGCCTCCAGTTCTCCTCCGCAGCCTCCTCCCGTGGAGTCTCCCGGGGTCTCAGGTACCCCTCCTTCAGGCCCTTGTCCGCTGTATGCTCGTCTTCTTGCTTCTTTCCTCTAATTGCTGCTGGAATCTGTCTTTTCTGTAGAGACACTCTGTCTGGCGGTGTTATTCGTCCGCCATCTTGCTCCACCCCCCTGAATCCTCGTGTTTATTACAACATTATTCATAATTGCCAAGATATGAAAACAAGCTAAACATATGTAAATGTTGAACGCATAAAGAAATAGGGTACATATGCAAATAAAAATAACACTCAGTTATAAAAATATTATTCAATCATTTCTACAACATAGATGGACCTGGAAGATATTATACTAACTGAAATAATTCAGGCACACAAAGATAAATACTGCATAATCTTACATACATGGGGAATCTAAAAAGGTTAAAATCATAGAATCAGAGATTACAAGACTAGTTGCCAGGGCCGGAGGTAAAGAAGAATGCAAAGATGTTGGTCGAGGGTACAAACGTTAAGTTACAAGACCAATAAGTTTTGTAGACCTATGTATATCTTGGTGGGTATAGCTAAAGATAATGTTTGGCATCCTAAAATTTTCTGACTATAGATCTTAAGTGTTCTCACTACAAAAAAAAATAAGAAGAATAGGTAACTGTGAGATGACATGTATTTTCATTAACTTGGTTGGGTTAATCATTTCAAAACACATAAACATATCAAACAAATCATTACATGGTACATAATAAGTACATAGTTATACTATTTTTATTTGTGGAGAAAATTTATATGACACACACAAGCACACACACACACACACATATAAACCTATGAATGACAAAGCCCCAGTAAGCTTCATATTAAAGAAGACAGAATGATGGATTTAGAGTTGGTAAAAGTAAAAAGTGGGAGTTTAATGCACGCTCGGCAATGTTCTAAGTGCCCCAAACATACTTAAGATACGTAGGGAGTAGACACATTAAACTCTATTAAAGTTGAGAAATTTGGGCACATAGAGTTAAATTATTAAGACCTCACAGTAAAAACAGAATTTTGAAGTAAAATAACATTATATTTTCTTATATTTAGAGAGATACTTAGTGTTCTGATAATGACTACGAATTTCTCTAGAAACACATTTTATCATTTCACAAGATAACAAATCATAAAGCAGAAAAATATAATATCTGCTTGTGGTGATCCTGGGATTTCTGAACCAAATACCAATTACACCACTACATTCACACATGTCAGACCTGATGCAATAAATGCAGAGAAATTTAAAAAATGGTTGGCAGACAGGTGTGGTGGCTCATGTCTGTAATCCGTGCACTATGGCAAAGAAGGGAGGATTTCTTCAGCTCAGGAGTTCAAGACCAGCCTGAGCAAGAGCAAGACCCCATCTGTACTAAAAGTAGGAAAATTAGCCAGGGAATGTGGCATACACCTGTAGTCACAGCTAACTCAGAAGGCTGAGGCAGGAGGATCACTTGAGCCCAAGAGTTTGAGGCCTCAGTGAGCTACCATGATGCCATTGCACTCTACCCAGAGTGAGACTCTGTCTCAAAACAAATGCTTTACCATATATTTTGTCAAATATACACACATATTTCCATGTCCTGCAATGTAATGGAAAGCAGTCAGTACCTGCAGTCCCTGATAAACCTTGAGCAGGGCTTTTGTTCTCACTCTAACCTTAATCAACAACACTGATGGGAAATAAAGTCCTTAGATAATTTAAGAATATGGAACAAGAAAGCCTCTATCAACGATCAAGAGAAAGAAACCCAGGATTGCCAGAACCCATTTCCATGGAAGCAGAGTTTTCCAAGCACTTTTTAAGATCTGCCTTCCTCATTGACCTTTGGAGCTCTCACCTGTGTCATCTGCTTCATTGACTCCCACCTACCTGGGTGTTTGGCTACTGTCTCACTTGTCTTCACATTCCAGGGCTCTTTTCTTTGCTCCAGACAGGTGATCAGGTCTGGCTTAGAGGCAGCAAGACCTGTTTTATTTGGGAAAAGTAACATGGCATTTTTGGGAATCTTCCATTATCAATCCAGTACTGTGCTCAGTAGACAAATGGTCACAGTATAGAAGCTTCTAAAAAATATTAATCCCAAAATACTAATTCCTGACAGACACTTTAAAATATTTAGACAGTATTAGAATTTCAGGGTCCTTAGCTCCATTACCTAGTACTGTAGAATCAAATACGGGTGGCAGAAATTGGATTTTAAGCTATGAGCAACAACATCTTATGCCACTAAGTTTTTGAAATCATCGCTAACGAGGAGTGAAGGACACAGCTCAGCTCAATAAAGGGAAAGATTAATGTCAAGATAAAACAGATTGAAGATTTTGTTTTCTATACTAACGAATCCCACTTTTTCCTTGGAAACAAAGATGAGAGCTTCTCTTATGCAAAGCAGAAAATCCCAGAGAAATTCTACAAAAGTAGACAATAAAATACTTAGTGTGGAATAAAAATTGTATATTGAAATGATCTTTACCCAGGAAGACTAAATTTCTGTAGTTCTCAAACATCACATCCCTATACAAATTCCGCTGTGCATTGTCAAGGCATGCCCACTCCTCCAGAGAGAATACTATGGCCACATCCCTGAATGTCAACAGTCCCTGAAAAAAACAAAACAAAACAAAACACATATTTACCAAGTGGTCATGTGGAGAATTCTTAATTTCACTGCTGGAGAAATAAGGAAATGAAGAGAATTGGTTCAGACTCATATGAATAACTGGAATTATTCAAAAAGATAATTTATAACACAGAAATATTCTCTAATGTGTTAGCTGACTCTGAGGAGAGAGGATGACATAAGGTCCACAAAATTCATGGAGACGTTATACTTTGCTAAATGATAAGGTATAAGATTCAGGTCACCAACACAGATATTTATATTTTTGAGTACTATATTTACATTATACTGGATAAGTTGTATATATTTTTCAGATGGAAAAGTCATGTTGAGTTAGAAGGTATTAATGCATGTTAAAGTTTGCAAAGTCTTCAATATGTACAACATGAACTAGAAATCCTAATACAATACAGATTTTGATTCTGAAAATCTAGGGTGAATCCTGAGTTTCTGAATTTCTAACAAGCTCATCAGTGACATCAATGCTTCTGGCCAAAAGGGAATATTATTCAAACATTCAGTAAGTATCAGAGTATGGCTTCATCTCGTTTCAACTGACCAGGATATCAAGATGAGAGCCCATATTTTCTAAAGGAAATTATATGCAAAGGGAATCTAAAATGAAAATGGGAGCTTCCACATGAAATGTGATGGTTTATGCTCATCACTAGGAAAAGCTTCACAAAGTACTCAATATAATTAACTATTAGAAAAATGATAGAGAACACATTAACCAAGTGAATAAAATTAATATCAACTGTAATACAACAAATTACTCTCAAGTGTCAATGCACAGAGATATACCATCACTGCTGTGATATTTTGATATTTTTTGCCAAAGGAAAATGTAATTTATAATTTGAATCTACTCATGAACATCAGTTTTATGCAAAGTTCAAGCTATAGATATCTCTCATGTTCTGTAATCTATAATAATGTATTTCAATAGTCTTTCTTTGGTATCCTAGAGAGCAAGTGTCTTCTAATTATTCTTTTTCTCAGAACTTTCTGGGTTATTCTGAACAATCAATGTGTATTATTTTAATCTTGTTCTGCACAGAGCTGATGGAGCATCTAGACAGAACCTAAATAGTACATGTTCCTCTTCTTCACTGATATCCTAGGGATCGAACTCATCTCCAATAGTAATCTTGGGCATCCAAGATTCTGCTTCCAAGATGTTCAACTGTCACAAAGGGAATATTTTTAATATTTATGGTGACAATTGTTCATGATGTATAAGAAGCGTGGATGCAGGGAAGGCTCTGGTATGTAGGAAAAAATAATATTTCAGAGCCTGTTGACTATCATTAAAAAAAAAAGAAAAAAAGTAGTTAAAATCAACACACTAGGCAGGAACAACAAAGGAGAAAAGTAATGGTTTGCAAATCCTAAACATATGACATTCCGAGAGGAAAAGTAAACACAGCCTCTGACCTGGAACACATTCACCTGAGAACCAGCCATCTCTTTCTGTCTCTCCTTCTCAGTTAAGATTATCTGGAAAACTTACACATGTATCTTGGGAATATGCATCTAAAGGTGTCAGCACAACCCTGTCCCCTACTGTCACCACACTCACAACAGAAGGACCACGAAGTACAGAAAAGAAATTCACACTTCCCTGTCATTATCACAGGAGAGAGTCAGGAGCAATGAGGTCCTACATAAAGATCAAAATGTCAGTGTTTTTCTTTCCTACCCTCAGGTACCCTCAATTGCCACAGTCACTGGCAATTTTTGTGGCAGCAGTGGGGATATGGACCACACTGACCTGTCCCTAAAAAACACAAGCGGTACAGGGCCTGTGATCTTCCTTTGGAACAAAGTCTGAATTCAAATCTCACGAATATATCTCAGAGCCCTTGTACTTTTCCCCTGGCTGCAACTTAGCATCACATGGGGCACTTCATTATAATCACATCAATGCTCCCACCTAGAACAATAGACAGACTCTGTGCCTGGATAGAAAATCTCTTAGAATGTGCCTATAAATCATTTTGTAATCTGGAGCCCAATCTAAGTAATTTGATTCTACAGCCATGGAATTCATCCAAGGTGCCCATGAATTGGCTCCTTGAGAAAGTCCCCTGTGAATGCTGATGGTGCTTCTCCTAGACCCACTATGAGAAGCTTCTCCTAGACCCACTATGAGAAGCACTCAGCTACAGGCAGCAGGTACAGCACATAGAGAGCATTACACCCAACACTCTTATGGCAAAAATACTTTTGGTCCAAAGTGAAGACCACCAATTGCCATCCTGAAACATGGCATTCTATTAAAAGATTACAGAGGCTAGAGAAGACAGCAGTGTCTCAGTAAGTCTGCATTTGGAAAATAACATTAGCCTTGCCTGAATGCTACATTTCCTGAGCATGTACGATGTGTTCACAAGTATGTTGTAGCGGTGGTCCCCAACCTTATTATAGGCACCAGGGACCCTTTTCAAGAAAGACAATTTTTCTACAGATTGGGGAGTGGGGGGATGGTTTGGAGATGATTCACACTCATTGTAATTTTTTGTGAATTTCATTTCTATATTACTACACTGTAATATATAACAAAATAATTCTGCAACTCACCATAGCTTGGGGATCCCAGTGTTACAGTGCTGGCAAACTCCAAGCTTGGGAGTTAATTCTCATAATACCCTGGGAGTTGAGTACTAAATACCCCATAATTTCCAGGATTTAGTTGAAGGGCCCACCCTGTTTCTTTTATCTATCATTAATCTTAAAAGAAAAATCTATAGAACAAAAGCTAAATATAAACAAATGGAAGAGACAGAGAAAGGAAAGTTGGGCTGCAGTTCAGAGGGATTTTTTATTGTGTTTATATTTTCTGCCTGTAACTTGTGGAACAACTACTAAATGTAAAAGAAAACAAGTTGCTAGGTTGTTTCTCTGGGAGCATAGGTTTTATAAAAATAAAGAAATTAAGTCCCCCAAATAATAGGCCTGAGCCCTTATTTATCTAGTTTTGGGATTGAGAGAATTGTAAGCATCAGCTCTGAGGAGACAACACGAGAAGCCATGCAAAACTCTTGTCTTCTCTAATAAGTTTTGTGCAGAGAGAATCTAACATTCGTTCAGACCTAGACAAGGCTCAGAAGAGGGTGGATTTGGGCAGGTTGGGGTGGGAAGAGGGCCCAAGGCTTCTCACCTCTATTGAGTTAAAGTATATCCAGTTCTAGCTTTTCTACATCTTCCCAAGAGAAACTTGACTCGGAGAGCTTGTATAATTTCAACCTATTCACACCATTTGGGGGCCCTCTTTTATAACATAATAACAAGCAATGTCAGAAAATTTTTCATGGTTTTCTAGGACAATGATATTTGAAGCTATCTATTGATTCTTAAATCCTAAGAGGAAAAGACCTCTCAAGAGTGAAGCCTGCACTTATAAACCTACCACTCTGGGAAGCTGAGGCAGGAGGTCACTGGAGGTCAGGAGTTGGAGACCAGCCTGAGCAAGAGCAATATCCCATCTCTACTAAAAATAGAAACAATTAGCCAGGTGTGGTGGTATGTGCCTGTAGTTCCAGCTACTAAGGAGGCTGAGGTGGGTGGATTCCTTGAGCCCATGAATTTGAAGTTTCTGTGAGCTAAGTTAATGCCATTGTACTCTAGCCTGGGTGACAGTGTGAGACTCTGTCTCAAAAGAGTAAAGCCTGGCACCTTATATGTTTGTATTATGTCTGGTAATTCTGAACAATGCTTCAGAATTACAATTAAAAACAAAATTATTTCCAATCCCAGACAATCTCTCCACAGTGGCAGCACAGAAAGAAAACTCTTTCATTGCATAATTATATCAGAATGTGATATGCATCACAATCTCCTAAGAGCTTACAAAAACAAAAAAGAAAGGTCATCATCATTTGTCCTCAAATTGAGATGGAGGAGGGTCCCCTCTATCTGTCCTGCAGAACCCCCCAAGCATGTCAATAGATAAAACATCTTGAGTCCCTACAAGGAAAATTCTAGGCAGCTAGGTACGGCAATTCGATGAGCAAAAGACAGTAATAACTACAGTCCTGCAAGCAAGCCAGAGATATGGGGAGTCTTATTTTCCTACAGAAACTAAAAGATAACCTGTTAATATATGTTTTAGAGTTATTTTTCAGAACTCTCCCCCATGGAATATGCAGATAGGAGGGAACTGATGAATTGAACTCTGACCACAGGTTTTCTTCCCTAAATTTCTGTCTAAAGGGACTAGATAGAGAGGGGAACATCACCTTAACATCACTTTCTGCTAACAAAGTCATCTAGGAATCCACCAATGACCAATAAGCCCCTGCTTCAAGATATCACATATCAATATATAACCTCCATATACTGATTTACAATTTTGTCTGCAACTTCTGCTTTCCTCAAATGTGCCCATATCTTTAAAAACCTTTTCCTGTGAGCCACTGGGGAGTTCCAGTCTTAAGCGTTAGGTGTCCATTCTCCTTGCATGGCATCTTGCAATAAAATGCCCTTTTCCCACTGCAACTCTTTGCATCAGCATTCATCTTGGCCATGCTGAGTGAGTGGACCCAACTTTGATCTGGTACTAAAGATTTGACAATATTATTTGTCCTATATAAAATTCATTCTAAATTCATCTGGTGATTGGAGCGATTATGTGTGTTTTGGCTATATTCCAAGGAAAATTAAACTTTCAACATCTTCATGATAGAAGGTAGTTTTGTAGCTTGGAGCCATGTGCCCTGTGAACGGTAAGTTCCTGCTCTCCAATGCAAGCTGTGGGATAGGGCTGTATCATCTTTGCTATTTACATTTTAAAGCAATGGGTTAAAGGTTCTAGAGAAAGACATTCCTGAGTCAAAAAGATCAACAAAAGGCCTATTTGGAGGTGAAGATGATTTACATATAATTCAAAGAATATTGTACAATATTTTAAAAAATGTTTTTATATATAAAACCAAGAAAAATTTACCAAATGTCATGAGGACAGAGAATACTACTAGA